CAGCTGATGAGCGGCTGAGCCAGGTGGAGGTGCAGCTGCCTCACCTGGAGACCAGTGCAGTGCAGCTTAGCCATTAGCCACAGCTGGTTCTATTTAAATGTGGAGCAGAGTTTTCACCTGAAGATGGAGATAGAATTATGGTTTTGGACTGAAATATTACATTTTAACGTAAGTTGCACTAAACTGCCACACTAATGGTTACACATGTTACACATGTGTACCAGCTAGTTAGTTACCAGGTAGTTACCAGCTCAGTGGCCTAGTGGTAGAGTGTCCGCCTTGAGACTGGGAGATCAGGGTTCGATTCCTGGTCGGGTCATACCAAAGACTTTGAAAAAAAATGGGACCCAATGCCTCCCTGCTTGACACTCAGCATTAAAGGGGTTGGATTGGGGGGTTAAACCACCAAATGGTTCCCGAGCGCGGCTGTGTTTGCAGCTCACCGCTCCCCCAGGGGATGGGTCAAATGCGGAGAACAAATTTCGCACACACATCAGTGTGTGTGACAACTAAGGGGACTTTAATGTGTACAGCACTATTAGACACTCATCTGTACAGGTTATCAGCAAAAATAAGTTAAGTTAGGCGTTACTTGCACTTGAGGTTATGTGCACAACTAAAACACATACTCACCGGGTAGTTAACGAAAATCAGAGCTCTGATAAAACGCTTTTTTCTTCATTTATAAAATCGCCTGGATTACTTCCTTTTTTCAGTAGGAAAATTCAGAGGAGTCAAAAGGTTTCAACAACCTTAAAGATACTAAAATTGAACTGATTAGGGCAAATGATTTAAAAGTAATTGGGATTTAATTTTGTTTAATTTGGTTGTTTAATAAGTGCCGGTTTTGTGTTATCTATTGAAGCAGTGGTTTATTTTTACTTCACCTTCTTTCCGCACTAGCTCATTGGGTGTGGTTTTCTCTTTTACATGTATAAGTTAACGGGACGTTAAGGACGTTTAACAGCCTATACATGTATAGAAATGTAAAATGTCTTCCTCAGACTAGGGCTGAACGATCTATCGTTTTTGGACCAAAATTGCGATTTCAATCTGCACGATCACGTGACCGTCAAAGCTGTGGTTTTAGCAGATTTGACTGATCCAGAATCAGTTGTGGAACTTTTTTTTTTTTTTTTTTACATTCAGGGTTTTCCCTCGTGTTATGGCGGCGGCAAAAGCCAGAGTGGGGGAGGGGGGTGAGGTGTACCGTCCAGAGCTGAGCCCAACTCCACAGTTGTCAGAGCTGCATGTTCAGGTTATTTTCTCTGTTTTATGTTCCCACACACAGTGCTGCTAGAGCCGATGATAATGGCACTGTAGGTGAGCCTGGGACAGAGAGAGAGAGAGAGAGAGAGAGACTCCTCCCACATCAGCAGGTTCAGGCTGACTGGTTATTTGAGGCAAGATGGCGCCAGCATGTTGGGCATCTCATCTGTCGCTCTTGTGGTTGTTATGGTTTTTTTTGTTACTCGGATGTTTTTTCTACAATATTAGCTCACTTCTTGTGTATAGCCGTGGGGCCCTGCTGCAGCTCCGGCAACCGGCTAATTGTTTGTCACAGCCTTATGATAATGGACAAGACACATCTGCGCTACTCTCGGGAGTCCCCGGATTCTTACTCCAACTGCCAAATCTACCTAAGTGGAGGAAGCGTCGGAGAAGGGGTAAACGGGCTGGATGGCTGGCGAAGCTAAGATCAGCGTTGCTTGACGGACCGGATGTTTTGAGGGAGAATCCTGGTGCGGCTGGGCCCTGTTTGCAGTGGTGGCGTCCGCCAGGTCCGGTGGTTTCCGGGTTGGTGTCGGTAGTTGGCAGCGGTCGGCTGGTCCGCTCCCGACGTCCTTCACGTCCGAGATACGGCGCTCGGAGAGGAGTCGATCGGCGGAATTTACAAGAGGTGATTTACGAGCCATCAGGGTCTCCATTATCGGATGGGAAGGTTCAGGACGTCTCGGCGCCGGACACCATCAGGTTTTCCCTGGTGAATGCCAGGTCTATTATGAACAAAACTTTTATTCTGAAGGAGTTCTTTGAGACTCATGGCCTGGATTACCTATGCATTACGGAATCTTGGTTTCCCAAAGGTGAATCTGCTGCTTTTGTAGAGCTACTACAGGATGACTGTGCTTATTTTAGTGTCCCGAGACGATCAGGACGTGGAGGAGGACTGGCGGTGATTTTTAAGTCAAAGTTCACTTGTAAACAATTGGCTTTGCCAGTTGTGCCTACTAGTTTTGAGCTTTGCATGTTCAAGCTGGGTCATGCGCCCCGATCCATGGTCGCACTCCTGTACCGTCCACCAATATGGTGTCAGGTTTCCGCCAAAACCCGTGCAAGCGTAGCCAAAACCCGTGGACGTGTATTGTCCACATCGCGCGTGGAGGTTAGAACCTCACGAGTGAAAATATACATGGCGAGGAGGTCATTTGTACACTGAGAGGGAGCAAACTGTGTCTGTGAGAGCACAAGGATGTGCGCAAGTGACAAACCTGCGTTCGCGCATTGGCCAACGAGCACACGGCAGAGGAAAACATGCGCGCGGTAGCCTTTCTGCGCGTGTGGCAGCCTTTCTGCACGCTCGGTGCAGCAGCCTCACTTCGCGTGCGGCAGCCTTTCTGCGCGCTCGGTTTCTGATTCTGCTCGCTCGGCTGTTGGGAGTTTTGGCACTCTGGAGGCGTGGAAGAATTAAAGTGCCAGAAATTGAGCAGTTGAACTTTCAATTTGAGAGCAGAATTTCATATCAAGAGACCAACTTTTTAATTTCAGAATAAGATTTTATATTATTGCTCTCAAAACTTGTAATGCTTGCACTCAAAATGTCTGCTCTCTTTCAAATTCACTCTGTTCTCCTTCAAATCTTTGTTTTTGCACTCAGATTTAACCTTCTTACACTGGTATTGTCTTCTCATGTGACAACTTTTTCTCTGCACGGATCAAAACTCCTCCCACAAGTCTGGCCCCTGCTCTCACGGATCTTGTCTGCTCTCGCTCAAAACTTAGAAGTACAATCTCCTAGCAACCGCTCAGCCAATAGAAAGACTTGTGGGACTGGGCGGGAACAAACTTCTTTGGGGTGCGCTCGTTTTGACGCTCTGTGGATTTTCCTGTGTGGCAGTCGCATCTGCGCACTAGCAGCCTGGCTAATACCCGCCCTGATCTGGAGCGGGAGTTTCACCTGCACCAGCAAAATGGACCAGAACCAACAAGACGCTCAAGTAAGTTATTTTTCAAGGCTACTAGCTGCAGTTTATTCCATAAAATTTTGTTATGCTACTTTTTACGACTCCTCGCATTTAATATTGCAACAGGGGCACACAGCTAGGTGGATTAGGGTCCTACATGGAATAAAATGTCCGGTGTTTCATCCAGGAACTGGGATCGAGTTATGAGGTGCTAGATATCTGTCAGGGAAAGATCCAAAAATGTTTTCTAGTGCCGTGTTCCCCAGAGTTGGATAAGTGAATGAAAAAGGATTGTTTTAACCAGCGCAGTAATTCTTATCTGCCAGCAGTCTGTCTGCTTTAGATTAGAATAAACCATGTAAATTAATGGGAGGTCGTAGCATTTTGTGTGCAAAACTGTAAAATTACTAAATTATGATACCAGTTATTCCTGTTGAGCTCAATAATCATGTTGACTGCAAATGAAAAGTAAGAAGTAGCACATTTGCAGGAGCCAATTGAGACAGTAGACAAATTTTCACTTAGGGTGGAATATCCCTTTAAATCAAACTTCAAACATGCACGTAAGCAATATACAGAATATTTTAATTACATTTCATGTTAATCATTATTGTTTACTTAACAATGATTGTTGGTCACTGATGTAAAAAATGTCTTTAATAGGTTTCCTGTCCATTGCGTGATAAAGAATTTACTCAGGAGTCTATACAATTGCATGCCAGCTTTTGTGGTGAAGAGGAGGAAGAGAACAAGTGCATGTTTTTACCCATGCACGTTGTACACAATATGTTATGAGAGTTTAATCTTTTTTTTGTTTGTTTCCACATCTGAACAGCATCATACTGGATGTGGATGACTCTTCCAAGCACTTAAGCTGGTTTGAATTTTTACAAACATTTGTGTTAATGTGTAGGTTTTAAAATAAATAATAATAAACACAATGTTGTTGTCAATAGCTTATCAGACATCCTGAAGTTCCTACAAGAAAGAGTTAACAACACTAAAGCCTTTAACATTAATGTGGCAAGGGACGACCTTTACCAGAGAGGTCTGAAACAGCGGGCCAGACAGAAACAGGCTTCCCCCAAAAACCAGCTAAGTGTTTCCTTTATTGGAGAACAAGGCACTGATGAAGGAGCACTACGCCGAGAGTTCCTAACCGGTATGTATTCCTTGCTAATGTCAACATACCAACTTTGAATATAGTTGAAAATGGCAAACTGTCATTTCTTTTTTTTTCCAATAGAAATGATGCGAGGCCTTGAGTTGAACTTATTTGAAGGAGTTTCATGCAAAGGCAAAAACCCCAAATATAGTATCTCTTACTACCAGGAAAACAGATACAGGTATGTACAGTATGATGCTGCTCTACAGTGTAACTTGGCTTGTTTAGTGTTCAGGATCTGTGGGGAGATCATTGCCACCAGCTTGGTTCAAGGAGGACCAGCACCGAATTTTTTTTCTACTTGGTCCTACCACTTCTTGCGTCATGGACAAATAACAAATGAAGATGTGCCAGAGGCCAATTTTGCACCCGAGCAGATATTGTACCGACACTGGTACGCTGCTGTGTTCGTTCAGGAGTGTGCACGTACAGCATGCACGAGCTTACTATAGAAGCTGCAGTTGCACATTTGGCATAAACATCTCAAACTTCTCACGTTCCTTTAACCTTGAAATGCCTCATCCTGCATCACATCTAAATGTGTTTATTGTGTCAGTTCACATTTGGTGCTCTGTGCTAATCTGTTCCTGTAGTCAGCTTTTAAATGGGAGGCGCTGTACCTCAGGAACGCAGAAATAAATAGTGGGAAATAAGGGCTCATAGGGGTGTTTATTACAGTTAACCCTAACCCAGCTAAAACATTCAAAACAAATGGTATGTATCATAAACTCTGAAGTACATCACACTATAATACATGTCATGAAAGGTAAAAACATACATCAATTCAGTTCAGGCTATTTCTAGTCTTCAAGCCTACGGGTTAGGGTTCCCTGAGGTCCGAGCCAGGAAAAAGGGTGACAGGGCTCGTGGAGTTTGATGAGGTGTTTTAAATGCTGGTGACCTCTGTAGCATAATGGTTTAGGAGCTTTTTAAAACCTCTGTTCCAGAGCGAATTGCATTGTACATAAATGAACCAAAGGTGACATTAGCCAGCGGTTGTGCTGGTGGGAGGGTGTGGTGCACCCTGCACATTACAACCGGTTGGAATTGTCATGCCTACGACCGGTTGTCCACCTTCAGGAAACCCTGTTGTTCATCTGGTAACAAGACCTGATTTGAGTTCTTACCTCTTTTACAAGATTTTACTCATCAAAACGGATAAAGCTGTTCTCATACGAATGACTGAACATCAAGTCGAGTTCATCTAAAGTTCTCACTTGCGCTGTTTTTCTTTGGGGGGGTTATGGACAGACCCACTTGGTGTCTCCGGACCAGTGACAGGAAGGCCAAGCTCTCCTTTACTTTAAGTTCTCAGAGTAAAGAATGAAGATGGGACAACTCATGTGGGTGTTTATTACAAAGCTCACAGACATCAGTAGTTGGACTATCTTCAAGGTCCCCGAAGTGTCAGGTGTTTGGGCATGTTCCTGTCAGCCTGTACATAGACACGAGTTCCACACTCACATTAATGGTAACACATGAAGGTCACTGTGATCTGGGACTTCTGCCGAGCCTTCCATTTAAATTGGGTCACAGAACTTTCTGGGAAGGAATTCTGAAGTCTACAACAAAACTGGCTCACACGTAATCTAAAACCAGTGAAAGCTTTCCCGTTAACTCTTGAATTAAAAAGTCTTCATCAAAAACACGTCTCATCGAACATCTGCAGTCCAAAAATAGAGTTCTCATGAGAAGCTTCAACAGAACTAGGAGCTGTTAGACTAAGTTCTACAGAACCCAGGTTATCATCACATCTAAGCAAAACAAAAGAACATTGACACAGAACAACAGAACCCTTTGAAGGTCCAGATGGACCTCGTGGGTTCCTTGTTCTACTGGGGAGGGAAG